CTAAGACTTATGAAATTACCCACTTCAGATCAAGATGATCTGGAATTTATGGACGAGTGGAACAGTAAATTGGAAACTTGCACATTTGGCCTTATGGACACCCTAATTAAGAAAAAGAGTAAAAAACTGTCCAATCTGGATAGGGAAATCAATGACCTTAAAGAAAAACTTATGCCCTTCACAGAAAGTAATGTATATCAACAGAACTCAGTTTTAATTCAAAGTAAAATTGAAAAAATAGAAATTGACACGAAACATATTAAAGTCAAAAAATACATAAGGGACAAACAAGATTATGCTAACAGACAGGTTAGGACATACCACCTAAAGAAAAGATATACGTCAGAAAACCCATCCTCAAATATGAGGACAGAATCACAACAATATCACAAACCGACCACATTCAATACACGACATGTGTCTCCATATGTCCCCAACAACCACTTTCCCACATTACACAAACCTTCACATTACTCTCCACATAAGCAAAAATTTCACTACAGGAATTACAATTCTGGTTATGCACCCTCAACTTCATACCACAAACCTACATCATTCAAACCACGTAGAACTTTCAACAACACCTCCACACACTATGACTCTCGTCACAACTACTACAACGCACGGAGCCCAGATATCCAAAATCACTCACCTAAAACTCACAAACCCAGTCACTACTACAAGAATCACTCAGCGACTCCTATCTCACATACAAACAGGTACCAACTACTATCCATTGATTCAGAAATAGATAGTGATGATCATTTTTTAGAGATTCAGACACATCCACACACTTTCACAAACACACCGTACCCAATAAGGACCAAAAAAAGACCTCTAAGCCCAGAGGCAAACGAAGTGGTAGAAGACAACAAAAAAGAGAGACTAGAAAGACAATAACTGCCCCCAAAGAATCAGACATCGGCATTTTTAATTTATCACGAAAAGTTTTAAGTGCAGCACAAATTTCAGTTTTAAGTAAAGGGCTAAAATATGCTCCGACCAACTCTTTTAAACCATTTGAGGCATTTTTAGATGTTAATAAATTTATACGCAAAGCTACTCTAAAAAGATTTTATAATTCACATGACGCTAACACTAATCCCCCCCTTCCTTCCTCTCAAATCCCTACAGATACACCTACATACATTAATACAGATTTAAAACCTCAATCTACTTTTTATCCTTATAATTTTAAATCAGCACCTCTTGTGATGTTTGAAAAATCCGTACTAAAAGATTTTAATAAGATCAAGTATAGCAAATATGACACCCAAAATTTAAATAGATTAGAAAAAACAGCAATGAAACAACTCCAAGAAGATAAAGACATTGTTATTAAACCTGCAGATAAAGGTGGGGGTCTTGTTATCCAATCAAGTGCTATGTATATTAAAGAAGCTTACAGACAGCTGAATGATACTGATGTATACGAAAAATTATCCAATGACCCAACACCAGACATACAACAAAAATTAAATACCTTCTTACAAAAGGGATTAGAAGAAAATATTTTGAAGAAAAAAGAATTTGACTATATATTTATTAAGAATCCCCAGATTCCGGTAATTTATTTTCTGCCGAAAATACATAAGGATGCTCAACACCCTCCCGGCAGACCTATAGTGTCTGGAATTAATTCCCCTTTATGCAATTTATCTCAATACATTGACACCCTACTCCAACCTGCAGTCAAACTCATGAAATCTTATCTAAAGGACTCAATGTCACTATTAAATTTTTTAAATGGATTTTATTGGGAACAAGATTTTATACTTGTGACATGCGATGTCACCTCTTTATACACTATTATTCCACATCAACTTGGTTGTAATGCAGTCAGAACTATGTTATCTAATGAAAAAAGAGTCCCAGAAACTCAGATTGATTTTATTGTGGAAGGCATCAATATAATTTTAAATAATAACTATTTTTGGTTTTTTAACTCTTTTTACCTCCAAAAGAGAGGAACAGCTATGGGGACCAGGGTTGCCCCCAGCTATGCCAACCTCTTTATGGCCGACTGGGAATCCAGTGCCATTTGGGGGCGGCATGCATGGGAGCAAAACCTGGTCTCCTATTTTAGATATATTGATGATTTGTTTTTTATATGGAAAGGTTCGGAAGATTCACTTAATGCTTTTATTTCACATCTTAACTCAAATAATAGAGGAATTGTTTTAACATGCGAGTACAGTAGAGATACAATTAATTTTCTAGACTTAAGTATTTTTATCAAAGAAGGAGTAGTGCATACAAAAACATTTTTTAAAAAAGTATGCACCAATACAGCAATTGATCTGACTAGCTGTCACTACAAGCCATGGCTTGAGAGCGCCCCCAAAAGCCAATTTCTACGTATGCGTCGAAATTGCTCTCACATTGATGACTTTAATGAACAATCATTGTTTTTAAAAAATCAGTTTATTGAAAAAAACTACTCATCCACACAATTAGATAACATTATAGAAACAGTAAGGAACAAACCCAGAGAAAACCTTTTAACTTATAAAGATAGAAATATCTCAGAAGCCCCTACCCTTCCTATAATTTTTAACTATAATAACAAAAGTGGTTTTATCAAAAAAACGATTAAAAAACACTGGCACCTCCTAAGACAAGATGATCTCCTTAAAGAAACATTACCGACTCAGCCAAAAATTGTTTTTAGAGGTGCACCCAATTTTAGATCTATCTTAACCAATAACTATACCAGAGAAGTTAAAAATACACAACCTACTTTTCTTAATGGAATGACGGGTTTTTATAGATGCAAACGTTGTATTGTGTGTAAAAGTACTAATCCCGCTACCCATTCCAAAGTTACCAGTTTGAAATCGAATGTAACTAACAAAAACTATATTATAAAAGATTTTATTGGATGTAACACTACCAATGTTATCTACCTATTGGAGTGCCCTTGTGGCCTCCAATATGTGGGTATGACTACCAGATGCCTTAAAACAAGATTAGCAGAACACTGCCGAAATATAAAAAATGGTTATGCCAACCACTCTGTATCAAAACACTTTGAAAAACACAATCGGGATCCTAAATTTCTTAAATGTATCGGAATAAAAAAATGCAAAGTCCCATGGAGAGGTGGCAATATAAAAAATATTTTAGGTAAAAATGAGATGGAGTGGGTATTTAATCTACAGACGTTAGCCCCCCAAGGCTTAAATGTGGATTTTGATTTATTTAACTTTTTATGATTTTATTCACTTTATCTTTATCTTCCTTATTGTGGTCATTTTGGGGCTATCCTATTCATAGTTGTTACCTACGGCATTATAGTCTAGGATACCCCCAATCTGACCACACTATAGATATTTTAATTATAATATATATATACATGTCATCACAAAAATGTATGTATTTCTTGTTATTCCTTGAGATATATATTTTATATTTTTTATATATATTTTTTACTTATATATGTGCTTATAAATATGCTGCTATTATATTAACTCATTACTATATGAGGATTATTTATGCTGATACCCTTTTGTATGTCTTTTATCAGTGGTTTTTCTTTTATTCACTTGCCTGTCTTATGTACATTATGATTGTGTTCTAATATGATCGTTATTCTAAATATATGCAGTGTATTTTCCATATTCTGCTCGTTTTCCCATCTAACTACATTTCCCAGGTGCCTAAGCGCCGATCACGTGACCCGTGCACTACACTGCTTGTGTATGCCGCGGGTCACGTGACGTCACACGCACCCGCCTCCAAGACGTTTACACCGCCCATTGCTGGGACGGCTAATATGAATGTCTGTGTGCGATCACGTGACCCGCGCACTACATTTCCCATAGTGCCGCGCGGGTCACGTGACGCGCTACAACAATATTTAATTCCAACTAAAAGCTTCGTTTTTCATATGTACAATGCATAATATGATTGTGATACACATATTTTCATTCTTACTCATTACAATCTCTGTTTTATGTGCTTCTCAAAGTTTTGTTATCCATGAACATTATGCTTGATTCTGATTGGTTAAAGCTAATTGATGCTGTTTTTGGCGCAATTTTTAAAGTACTAGTGTCCCTATATATATTTTATTCTTGCCAGGTTCTCATGTTATACCATTTTGATAAAACCCTAGTGGTGAAACGCGTTAATGGTTTTTATTGTGTATTTTAAATAATAAATTAAGTTTGGCTATATTCTTGTGCCATCTATATTATTATTTTATTATTTTTACACATAACCTTTTTTTACTACCTATTTCCTGGCATTTTATATATATCCTGAGGTGGGGATTATACCGCCCACGCGACATTCCAAGTGCAGTGATATCTGCACTCTATTTGTGAGTATATTTCCTATTCTTTTTATTTTTATACCACATTATATTATCAGAGAGCACTATTGGTTGTTCCTATTTTTCCTTTTCCTGAGAGTTGGACACCGTCATACTCCAAGAGGACAAGCATTCGTTATATCCTACAAGCAGGGATTATTCTGCTGAAAAACCCATTACCCCTGAGCTGGTCATAGCTCATGATAATGTGAGTGCAATTCATCTTCTTATTTTATATCTACACATTTTATACATTCTGCACGATTGGTCCTTTCCCTTTGTGTTTTCCATATCACGAGACGATCTGAAGTATCACAGACAGAGGAAACACTTTACCAGTGGAAATTGTGGAACAGACACTTCTACCCTCCAACATATATTGGGACTCATTTTATTTTATTTATTTATTTTACTTATTTTTTCGTTTTATTTTGGCGCTACCTTTCTTCCTGTTTTACTGTACATTATCTAGAGGGTAAGAGGGTTACCCTCTATAAGGTTGCTGCCTACTTTTTTTTTTTAATATATTATTAGCGCTTACCTATTTTTGACTTTTTCAGTGCATGGTGGGGGCATGGGTTATGTGTGGGTATTAGGTAAGCAGTGCATTGTGGGGGCATGGGTTATGTGTGGGTATTAGGGAAGCAGTGCATGGTGGGGGCACGGGTTATGTGTGGGTATTAGGGAAGCAGTGCATGGTGGGGGCATGGGTTATGTGTGGGTATTAGGTAAGCAGTGCATTGTGGGGGCATGGGTTATGTGTGGGGAAGCAGTGCATGGGTTATGTGTGGGTATTAGGGCAGTGCATTGTGGGGGCATGGGTTATGTGTGGGTATTAGGGAAACAGTTGATTGTGGGGGCACGGGTTATGTGTGGGTATTAGGGAAGCAGTGCATTGTGGGGGCATAGGTTATGTGTGGGTATTAGAGGAAACAGTTGATTGTTGGGGCCAGGGTTATGTGTGGGTATTAGGGAAGCAGTGCATTGTGAGGGCATGGGTTATGTGTGGGTATTAGGGAAGCAGTGCATTGTGGGGGCACGGGTTATGTATGGGTATTAGGGAAGCAGTGCATTGTGGGGGCACGGGTTATGTGTGGGTATTAGGGAAGCAGTGCATTGTGGGGGCATGGGTTATGTGTGGGTATTAGAGAAGCAGTGCATTGTGGGGGCACAGGTTATGTATGGGTATTAGGGAAGCAGTGCATTGTGGGGGCACGGGTTATGTGTGGGTATTAGAGGAAACAGTTCATTGTTGGGGCCAGGGTTATGTGTGGGTATTAGGGAAGCAGTGCATTGTGGGGGCATGGGTTATGTGTGGGTATTAGGTAAGCAGTGCATTGTGGGGGCATGGGTTATGTGTGTGTATTAGAGGAAACAGTTCATTGTTGGGGCCAGGGTTATGTGTGGGTATTAGAGAAGCAGTGCATTGTGGGGGCACGGGTTATGTGTGGGTATTAGGGAAGCAGTGCATTGTGAGGGCACGGGTTATGTGTGGGTATTAGAGGAAACAGTTCATTGTTGGGGCCAGGGTTATGTGTGGGTATTAGGGAAGCATTGCATTGTGGGGGCACGGGTTATGTGTGGGTATTTGATGGAACAGTTCATTGTGGGTATTAGAGAAGCAGTTCATTGTGGGTGCCAGGGTTATGTGTGGGCATTAGGGGGGAGCATGGTTATGTGTAAGTAGTAGTTGGAGTAGTTAATTGTGGGGACCAGGGTTATGTGTGTGGGTATTAGGGGAGCAGTTCATTGTGGGGACCAGGGTTATGTGTGTGTGTATTAGAGGGAACAGTTCATTGTGGGCATTAGGGAAGCAGGTTTAGGGGAGTTGCTCCCTGCTGTAGCAGACAGTGTTTCATAGTGGTACATGGTAAGGTTTTTGGTTAACAATTTTTAGGGTCCAGGGTTAGCTGCAAGGGTCAAGATATCCTGGGATTAAGGTTTGTGTGCTGGTGCTTCCAGGTGTCTATCAGAGGACTGCATTTGCTGCTTTCTTGCATCCATGGTTACATTTAGCAGAATTCAGGATTTTCTGTCAGAGATTTCTAAATTCCTGGCTTAGTAGGACCCAGAGTTAGCGTTATAAATAGCACAATCCACATGTAGTGTCCATTGTTGGACATGATTGGTTTAGCGCGTCCATAGTTAGTGTTCCAATTAGTGCTTCCATGGTTAGTGATCGAGTTAGCGATGTCTATGGTTAGTGTTCGGGTTAGCGGGTATATGGTAAGTCCATAGTTAGAGTTTGAGTCAGAGGGTCCATGGTTAGTGTTTGGGTTAGCGGGTATATGGTGAGTGAGTCCATAGTTAATATTTGAGTCAGAGGGTCCATGGTTAGTGTTCGAATTAGTGCTTCAATGGTTAGCAGGTCCGTGGTTAGCGTTTGGGTTGGGGGGTCCGTGGTTAGCGTTTGGGTTGGGGGGTCCGTGGTTAGCGTTTGGGTTGGGGGGTCCGTGGTTAGCGTTTGGGTTGGGGGGTCCATGGTTAGTGTTTGGGTTGGGGGGTCCATGGTTAGTGTTTGGTTAAGCGGGTCCATGGTTAGTGTTTGGGTTAGAGGATCCATGGTTAGTGTTTGGGTTAGAGGGTCCATGGTTAGTGTTTGGGTTAGAGGGTCCATGGTTAGTGTTTGGGTTAGAGGGTCCATGGTTAGTGTTTGGGTTAGAGGGTCCATGGTTAGTGTTTGGGTTAGAGGGTCCATGGATAGTGTTTGGGTTGGCGGGTTCATGGTTAGTGTTTGGGTTGGCGGGTCCATGGTTAGTGTTTGGGTTGGCGGGTCCATGGTTAGTGTTTGGTTAAGCGGGTCCATGGTTAGTGTTTGGTTAAGCGGGTCCATTGCATTGGAACGAAATGTTAGAAGGTTTTTCTTTTACCAGTATGCATTTAATTATCAAAAGAAGGAAAGAAAATTTAAAAGAGTTAGATAAAGAGATAAATAAATGCCAAGATATTTTACTCAACTCCACTAATGAGGAGCAATTTGAAAACATCACCTCCCACATTGAAAGAAATTTAGATAAACTTGAGGTAGAGGTTATAGGAGTAAAAAAGAATAAATATCTCAGAGATGTACAGGATTATGAATTAAAACAAGTTAGATCTTTTTCCAAATATGCCCAAAAATATCAAGTGCCCCAACAGGCTAGCTCTATGGGATTAAGGCAAAATTATCCATTAGAGGAAAACAATGAAGAACATATAAATAAAACATATAAGGAGAATTATGATCAATTCAAATACCCTAGGAAATTTTTTCACAACGAAACAAGAGAGAAGTGGAGACCAAGATTAAATAATACTAGGGATAATTACAATCATACTAATATAGGGAGGAATTCAGAAGGAGAAAGAAATTATAGGAATAGGAAAGATTTTCAGAATTATAGAGAACAGAGACCATATAGGCAATACCAGAGCAATCAAGAAAGAATCCCCACTCATAATAAATACGAAACTCTGTCAGATTATAGAGAAGAAGAGGTTTTTCGGCAATCAAAAACCAAAGACAGACACAAGTTAGACCAAGAGCAAAATATTTCAATCAATTCCAGAAAAAGAAGAGCCTCAGATATAGAGGAACAAGGGGAGGAAAGCGAATACAGATCAAAAAGAAGGGATCTGAATCTATGGAATTAATAAAAGGCATTTTCAATTTAAGTGATAAAACTCTGGATAACTATCATAAATCAGTACTTAATAAAGGGTTAAAATTTGCCCCTAGTACAGGCTTAAATCACTTCGATATGTATATAGATTTAAATCGTTTTAAACGTAGTTTATGTTTAAAAAAATAATTTTTGGGAGACCCGCTTAATAGGGAACAAATTAACCAAAATATAAATCTAGAGGATGAGTCCGGGTTCAAACATACTTCCCTTAAGAACAAATCCTCCTTCTACCCCAAACAAATGCTATCAGACGAAATAATAACATTTGAAACTATGGTTACAACAGAAATGAATAAAATCATCCCTAAAGATAAGTTTAAAGACAATTTAACAATGCTGGAAAAGAAGGCTCTTAAAGACCTCCAAACAGATAAAAATTTAGTCATTAAACCGGCAGATAAGGGAGGGGGGATAGTGCTTATGTCCAAACAGTTTTACGATATAGAAGCAAATAATATTTTAAAGGATTCTAACACCTATCAACAATTAAGGATGAACCCAAGCGATAGTATCAATTCCCTTTTTTTAACTTTTTTTAATAAAGGGTTTAATGAGAATATTTTAAGTTTAAAAGAATTCCAGTTCTTAAATATTAAATTCCCCAAAATACCAGTTTTTTATTTTCTACCTAAAGTTCATAAAAACATAGAAAAACCTCCAGGAAGACCCATTATAGCGGGTATAGATTCCATTTCAAGCAGACTTTCACAGTATATAGATGTTCAATTACAACCTTTAGTCCAGAAAACTAGATCATACATTAAGGATACTATCACAGTTTTACAAATTTTGGAAGGCATGCCTTGGGACAATAACTGCATTTTAGCCACTTGTGATGTGGCAGCCCTTTATAGCAACATTCCTCATTCCTATGGATGTAGAGCAGCGGAACATTTTTTAATGGAATCAAAAAAATTTAAACAAGAACAGATAGAATACATAGTGGAAGGAATAAAACTTATTTTGAATAACAATTTTTTTTGGTACAATGATACCTTCTTCCTACAAACTAATGGGACAGCTATGGGGACAAAGTTTGCCCCCAGCTATGCAAACCTATTTATGTCTTTTTGGGAAGAATCCTACGTTTACGAGGGACATAGCTGGGGGGAAAACTTAGCCTTTTATGGCCGATATATCGATGATATTTTATTGATTTGGAGGGGAGAAGAAAGCGACTTAGTCTCCTTTTTAGAATTTCTTAATACCAATGATTGGGGTATCAGGCTAAGCAGTACCTGGAGTAAAGAAATAGTAACTTTTTTAGATCTTGACATTTTTATTGAAGAAGGTAAAATCAAAACCAAAAACCATTTTAAAAAAGTTGACTGCAATAGCTTTATAGAAAGCATTAGCTGCCACCACTCCCCATGGCTGGAAAATGCCCCTAAGGGACAATTCCTTAGAATTAGACGTAATTGCAGCGATTTGGAAGTCTATGATGAACAATCATCGAGGATCAAAACCGATTTTGTTGTGAAGGGTTATGATGTAGAAAAACTAGAGAAATCAAGAAATGAAATAAGAAATAGAGAGAGAAAGGATTTATTAGTATATAAAACTAAAACTACTACTAATTTACAGGACATTCCCTTCATTTGCAACTACAATAATAACAACTATCAAATAAACCGAATTATTAATAAGTATTGGCCGATCCTATTGCAGGATCCAGCACTGAAACAAATTCTCCCTGCAAAACCTAGGATTATTTATAGAGGTGCAAGAAATTTGAGGAATACCCTGGTACGGAGCTCTCTAAAAGAACAAAATCATACCTCCACTATATTCAACAACGAGAAGGGATTTTATGGTTGTGGTCAGTGTTCTGCCTGCAAAAAGTCAGGATGTAAACGAAGAATAATAAAAGATATAACATCGAACAATGACAAAAAAATCCAAATCAAGCAATTCATAACATGTTATACTAAAAATGTAGTGTACCTTTTAATTTGTCCATGTGGACTGAAATATGTGGGGAGGACAACCAGACCACTACACATTAGGATTAAAGAACACATATATAAAATCCAGACAGGTTTCGAGCAGCATAGTGTCTCTAGTCATTTCAAATTATGCCATGACCAAAAACCAGAGGGTTTACAATTCATGGGGATAAATAAAATAAACAAGAATTGGAGAGGGGGGGATTTTGTAAGAGATTTAGGTAAACGGGAGATGGAATGGATCTTTAGATTAAATACGTTAATCCCATATGGCCTCAACGCGGATTTCGAGCTATGCCATTTTTTATGAATTCCTTTTAGATTTTTTAGATTAATATTTATATATGCCCTTTTTTTTTTAGATTACTATTTATATTAACCCTTTGTAAGTCTTAGATGTGGTAGCATATGTAGTTGGATAGAGTATACTTTGTGTATGATATTTGTATATATACTATGTATTCCGTATTGGTTTTTAATAGTGATTGTACAATAGACATGCACAATTTATATATAGTGGTATCAGTAAAAACAGATTTGAAGATCATTTCGTTTAAATAATTGTACAATAGACATGCACAATTTATATATAGTGATATCAGTACAAACAGACTTGAAGATCATTTCGTTTAAATAATTCATTCATAATAATCCGTTAACAAGGATATAAAAAGGATTAGAGAATGACCCCGTTAATATTGCTGATTAAATTGGGGTTCAAATAATTATAATCATAATTGTTTTTATCATGACTATTTGGTAATATCTTAATCCCCTGTATATCAGCTAATAAATTTGTGTCTTAGAAAACAATTTATGAATTAACGTGAAATATAACACGAAAAGAGTTATAATATTCAAGAAAAGAGAGGGGACATATAATAGTATTATAATGTTATTTGGGATTTGCCCTGCCTAACCTTATTGATTGTATCTAAATCGAAATGTTAAAATGTTGATGAACAACTCAGACTGATAATGTATCGATTACAGTATAACCATGAACTAGAATTGGTAAATCGAAAATGCTACAAATGAAAGCGATTGAAGCATTTATAACAATAGGAAAACTGATGCTGTTTTTTTTGTTTTCTTGTTCCTATTTCTTTCTCTTTCCTTTTATATATATGAGAATAAATATCATTCTATGTCAGACGGACTTATGGGGACATTAGAGGACTTGATTTTGATAATAAATGATGAACCGCTAAGGTGTATATCAGCTATTGGAAAACTAAGACGAATTGGAGTGACCAGAAAGAATACAAGCGTCTTCGCTCCCGATATCAACATGAAAGGGAGGCATGGACCGCACACGCCGCACCGGTGGGTGGTACCGACGTGTGACGGTTAAGGTACTGTGGGATTTGCCCGCCGTTTTTGTACATATTTAAACTAAAGAAGAGGAGTTCCAGGATTATTGCTGTTTCTTCACAATCCGGTTTGAAGAAGCCACGTCGGTAGTGGCGAAACGCGTCCCGGTATTTTTTTTAAGCTCATTGTGGCTATTTCATTTATGTATAAGAGTGTATTTAAATAAATTACTGTTTCTATTTTTGAATAATCCTGGTTCCTGATATCGTTATATTGAATGGGGAGTGCAGTCCCGAATTTGCACAAAGCGATAATATTGAGTCAATATATTTTGACTCCATCCTTGTGAGTACCCACTTAAAGATTATATATATTTGCTCTGGGATATTACAAACGATATTGCGCAATTTTGTATATTTTCATTTATTCACAGACCTCAGGAATACATCGTGAGAAGGGTTTGGGTCACCTATATAGACCCAGAAGCTATTTAAACTAGAGCTAAGTTGATAGCTCTCCGTTTGTGAGTTCATTTACTATACATTAATAACCAATGTTTATAAGTGTGATCTATACTATATATGATTATCTTTTTTAGGCATCTTTTCGTGCCGATTTTTAAGTGATATTCTTTCTCCAACATCCAAAAGGTGATCAATTTCTTTACATATAAGCGCTACATTCTTAATTTGTTTTGTGCCTTTAGTTAATAGGAATCTCTGAATGTTTGGCAGCTATCTATCACTATAAGTTACATTTGTACCTCACATTTATTGTTGTATACAAGCGCTGGTTCCATTGTCTATATATACTCCCAGTAATGTGTCCGAGTGTATAACAGAGCTCCACAGCAATAATACACCCAGTAATGTGTCTGAGTGTATAACAGCAATAATACTCCCAGTAATGTGCCTGAGTGTATAACAGAGCTCCACAGCATTAATACTCCCAGTAATGTGCCTGAGTGTATAACAGAGCTCCACAGCAATAATACTCCCAGTAATGTGCCTGAGTGTATAACAGAGCTCCACAGCAATAATACTCCCAGTATGTGTCTGTGTGTATAACAGAGCCCCACAGCAATAATACTCCCAGTAATGTGTCTGAGTGTATAACAGCAATAATACTCCCAGTAATGTGCCTGAGTGTATAACAGAGCTCCACAGTAATAATACTCCCAGTAATGTGTCCGAGTGTATAACAGAGCTCCACGGCAATAATACTCCAAGTAATGTGTATGAGTTTATAACAGAGCTCCACAGCAATAATACTCCCAGTAATGTGTATGAGTGTATAACAGAGCTCCACAGCAATAATACTCACAGTAATGTGTCTGAGTGTATAACAGAGCTCCACAGCAATAATACTCCCAGTAATGTGTGTGAGTGTATAACAGAGCTCCACAGCAATAATACTCCCAGTAATGTGTCTGAGTGTATAACAGAGCTCCACAGCAATAATACTCCCAGTAATGTGTCTGAGTGTATAACAGAGCTCCACAGCAATAATACTTCCAGTAATGTGACTGAGTGTATAACAGAGCTCCACAGTAATAATACTCCCAGTAATGTGTCTGAGTGTATAACAGAGCTCCACAGCAATAATACTCCCAGTAATGTGTCTGAGTGTATAACAGAGCTCCACAGTAATAATACTCCCAGTAATGTGTCTGAGTGTATAACAGAGCTCCACAGCAATAATACTCCCAGTAATGTGTCTGAGTGTATAACAGAGCTCACAGCAATAATACTCCCAGTAATGTGACTGAGTGTATAACAGAGCTCCACAGCAATAATACTCCCAGTAATGTGTCTGAGTGTATAACAGAGCTCCACAGCAATACTTCCAGTAATGTGACTGAGTGTATAGCACAGAGCTCCACAGTAATAATACTCCCAGTAATGTGTCTGAGTGTATAACAGAGCTCCACAGTAATAATACTCTCAGTAATGTGTCTGAGTGTATAACAGAGGCTCCACAGTAATAATACTCTCAATAATGTGTCTGAGTGTATAACAGAGCTCCACAGCAATAATACTCCCAGTAATGTGTCTGAGTGTATAACAGAGCTCCACAGCAATAATACTCCCAGTAATGTGTCTGAGTGTATAACAGCAAATAGCCACTCCATTAATGGCACAAGGTATGGCAAGAGCTCCACAGTAATAATACTCCCAGTAATGTGTCAGTGTATAACAGAGCTCCCACAGCAATAATACTAGTAATGTACAAAACAAATTAAGAATGTAGCGCTTATATGTAAAGAAATTAATCACCTTTTGGATGTTGGAGAAAGAATATCACTTAAAAATCGGCACGAAAAGATGCCTAAAAAAGATAATCATATATAGTATAGATCACACTTATAAACATTGGTTATTGATGTATAGTAAATGAACTCACAAACGGAGAGCTATCAACTTAGCTCTAGTTTAAATAGCTTCTGGGTCTATATAGGTGACCCAAACCCTTCTCACGATATATTCCTGAGGTCTGTGAATAAATGGAAATATACAAAATTGCGCAATATCGTTTGTAATATCCCAGAGCAAATATATATAGTCTTTAAGTGGGTACTCACAAGGATGGAGTCAAAATATATTGACTCAATATTATGGCGTTGTGCAGATTCGGGACTGCACTCCCCATTCAATATAACGATATCAGGAACCAGGATTATTCAAAAATAAAAACAGTAATTTATTTAAATACACTCTTATACATAAATGAAATAGCCACAATGTGCTTAAAAAAATACCGGGACGCGTTTCGCCACTACCGACGTGGCTTCTTCAAACCGGATTGTGAAGAAACAGCAATAATCCTGGAACTCCTCTTCTTTAGTTTAAATATGTACAAAAACGGCGGGCAAATCCCACAGTACCTTAACCGTCACACGTCGGTACCACCCACCGGTGCGGCGTGTGCGGTCCATGCCTCCCTTTCATGTTGATATCGGGAGCGAAGACACTTGTATTCTTTCTGATCACTCCAATTCGTCTTAGTTTTCCAATAGCTGATATACACCTAAACGGTTCATCATTTGTTATCAAAATCAAGTCCTCTAATGTCCCCATAAGTCCGTCTGACATAGAATGATATTTATTCTCATATATATAAAAGGAAAGAATAAATATCATTCTATGTCAGACGGACTTGTGGGGACATTAGAGGACTTGATTTTGATAACAAATGATGAACCGTTTAGGTGTATATCAGCTATTGGAAAACTAAGACGAATTGGAGTGATCAGAAAGAATACAAGTGTCTTCGCTCCCGATATCAACATGAAAGGGAGGCATGGACCGCACACGCCGCACCGGTGGGTGGTACCGACGTGTGACGGTTAAGGTACTGTGGGATTTGCCCGCCGTTTTTGTACATATTTAAACTAAAGAAGAGGAGTTCCAGGATTATTGCTGTTTCTTCACAATCCGGTTTGAAGAAGCCACGTCGGTAGTGGCGAAACGCGTCCCGGTATTTTTTTAAGCACATTGTGGCTATTTCATTTATGTATAAGAGTGTATTTAAATAAATTACTGTTTTTATTTTTGAATAATCCTGGTTCCTGATATCGTTATATTGAATGGGGAGTGCAGTCCCGAATCTGCACAACGCCATAATATTGAGTCAATATATTTTGACTCCATCCTTGTGAGTACCCACTTAAAGACTATATATATTTGCTCTGGGATATTACAAACGATATTGCACAATTTTGTATATTTCCATTTATTCACAGACCTCAGGAATATATCGTGAGAAGGGTTTGGGTCACCTGTATAGACCCAGAAGCTATTTAAACTAGAGCTAAGTTGATAGCTCTCCGTTTGTGAGTGCATTTACTATACATTAATAACAAATGTTTATAAGTGTGATCTATACTATATATGATTATCTTTTTTAGGCATCTTTTCGTGCCGATTTTTAAGTGATATTCTTTCTCCAACATCCAAAAGGTGATTAATTTCTTTACATATAAGCGCTACATTCTTAATTTGTTTTGTGCCTTTAGTTAATAGGAATCTCTGAATGTTTGGCAGCTATCTATCACTATAAGTTACATTTGTACCTAACATTTATTGTTGTATATAAGCGCTGGTTCCATTGTCTATATCTATTATATAGTTTATTAATATATATATTTTTTTACTTAATGATGCTATCTGCAGGCTATGCAGATTTCAGGAAAAAGCTGACAACTGAACTACAAATTTATAAATACTGTGTGGTATCTTGTGTGGTTCATCTGAATTATTATTACTATTATTGGTATTTATTTAGCGCCAACTTATTCTTCAGTGCTTTACAATATTATAAAAGGGGGAATTTAACTATAAATGAGACAATTACAACATGTAACAGGAACAATTGGTAGATGAGGACCCGTCTCAGAGGAACTTACAGTCTAGAGGAATGGAGTATATAGACACAATAGGAAGGGCATCAAGGGGGACAGCAAACAACAAAGTGGAAAATTAACAGAAGGTGAGAGTGCAGTGTGACTCGTTAGGAGAGAGCAAGAGACAGATTTGTTAAATAGAAGTTACTCTGGGAGGTCATAAGCATTTCTGAAAAGATGGGTTTTGAGGGAATACTTAAATAATTGAAGACTAGGTGAGAGCCTGATGGGTGAAGGCAGGTATTTCAAAGGAAAGGAGGTGTCCATGAAAAGTTCTGCAAGCGTGAGTTAGCAGTAAGGGTGCGAGCAGCAGGCAGGAGGTGGTCACTGGCAGAGAGGAGAAATTAAATTTGTCCAAAAAAACGGAAAAATGTTTTGGGCAATTCGTGGTTCATCCATGTGGCTTATAAGTTCTGACAACTTTTGTCCATACAATTCTTCAGGGAAAACTATTTGGACAAGTCAGTGTGAAAATTAGCCAATATGTAATGCAGAATATATACATAATATAAATATAAATATTATATATATATATTTAGCAGTACACAAATAGGTGCATTTTCGCACCATTTGTTACACAGATTAAGCGAGAAAATAGGGGGAAAATGAGAAGCAGTAAAAAACTCTATATATTACATTTTTATTAGACATTTTTTTAACTGTTCCTCTTTGTTTTCTCTGCAGTGGTAACTTCTCACATTCTTTGTGATTATTTAAACATATAGTTGCTGTCCCTTAACCATCAATCATCTTATTTTTATTTTGGTGGCTTGGATAGAACTTCAAATCATACAACAAACACAATAGTTTACTTATTGTCTATTTTGTTTGCTACATGATTCGTTCATGCAGCTTTTTGTAGTTGGGGATTTCCAAATTGCTGACGAATTTCAATTTGTTTCAAAACTGAAGGCATAAGTTTAGATGACAGATAAAGAAACATTCAGGTGGGGGGAAAATGTATAGAAAATTGTGAGCGCTATTCACAATACACTGAATAGAAAATCAAAATTATGTAATTCAGACAAAATAGCTAATATACAAACATTCCCCAACTCAGCTATAGTCACAGCTTGGCAATTTTAGCCTAAATTTAGCAAATCAGTGTTCAGTTAATCATGGATTAAAGAATAAAAATCAGTGGTGTTGGTATGGACAAGCAAAGACAGTGTTAATATAAGAAACAGTGTCTATAATAAGAAACATTAGTAACACAGTCTGAATCCTTTATTGTATATAAATTGATTAAGTGGAATATGAAATATAGTAAAGGGGCCTACGCATTTGGAATAGGTGAGATTAATAATCAGTAAAAACTTTTTTTTTTGTTAAATCTAGTTTTTGTGTTGCAAACTTTATATTAAAATGTTGATCCTAGTAAATGATTATGTCTTTCACAAAGAGCCAAAGACAACGTGAACAGCATTACGCAATATTTCTGCTCTGTATCCCACCAAATTATTCTTGGATTATTGATTTTCATTGTCCATATTTTGTGTTTATTTCTGGATTGCAAGAAATGACATATTTAATTTAGAATATTGATTGTTTTTTGAAGATGCTGTCTAAGTACACGAGGTCTCAAGTGAATGTGTGCTATTCTTCTGCAGGAAGAAAATATTTGGCAAGGAATACAGATTGATTCAGAATTTGAATTTATTTAAAGGAACACTATAGTTTCAGGAACATAAACATGTATTCCTGACATTATAGTGGTAAAATCACTATTTAGGTTCCTGCCCCCCCCACCCCCCCTGCTCTTTATAGTAAAAAGGTGATTTTGCTCAGTCTGCCTCCATGGCTGGATACATCACATTTTGTGTTCTCAGACAGTCCAATGCTTACCCATTGGAAAGCACTAGGAGGCTATTGTGAGTGCATGGCAAAATGCAGCGCTGCGACAATCAGTCTGAGTGACTGCCACTAGCGGTGGTACTAGGCAGTAATGTAAACACTGCATTTTTTTCTGAAAAGGTAATGCTACATTAAAAAGCCTGCAGGGACAGGCTATACTAACCAGAACAACTACATTAAGCTGTAGTTGTTCTAGTGTTACCTTAAAAACATTATCTGCAGTAACCAGCTAGCAGGTCTGAGACCCCTCCACAACTCCATCTATACACTCTTGCTCTCAGACCTTGTGTCCCTTCAAATCCAGTGTAACATAAAGGGCCCAGACTGCAATCAGGAAAATGAGGAGCCAAGGTATTAATTCTCAGTCAAGGTACAGTATGTTAACCATTATAGAATGAAAATTACCTGCGCATCTGTATCTTTTATGTGTCTGCCTCATACTATGTATTGTTTAAAGGATAGATGTGTCTTTATTTTGATATTTTATCAGACATCCCAAGTCTCCCGGTAGGTCCGAGAGACTCCCGCTTATTTAATGTAGTTCCCGGACATCTGCATACCATGTGTACAATGTATGTCAGATTGTGTGTGTTTGATTTTCAGGATATTGCACATTTTAAATGCCATTAAATAAATGCTCCCTACTCATTTTCCACCTGATGGTTATTGTTCTTGAACAGGGGCCCAGTCATGCGCATGACCCTTTAAGAACCTGACTTGACCCCTGCAGTATCCTCTGGCTGGGAGGAAGTGGCATGCTGTCATTTCCTCCCAGCTAAAAATACATCTGCACGGGACACCACCACAGGCAGTATGGAGAGGCAGTAGTGAGCTGCTCCTGCCTGCTCACTCCCATTAGTCTAAGCCCAGACCCTAAAAGGTAAGTTAACAGGTGGCTGCAATGTATGTCAGGCTGTATGTGTGTGTATCTGTGTGTATATGTGACAGTGTGTGTATATGTGTGTATCTGAGTGTGTCTGTGCGAGTGTGTGTATTTGTGTGTGTGTACGTGCCAGTGTTTGCATCTATGTATACGTGCCAGTGTGTATGTGCCAGTGTGTATCTGTGTGTGTGTATGTGTGTATGCCAGTGTGGGTATCTGAGTGTGTGTGTGCATTCGTGCCAGTGTGTGTATCTGTGTGTATGTGTGCCAGTGTGTGTATATATGTATATGTGTGTATGTGCCAGTATGTGTATCTGAGTGTCTGTGTATGTGCCAATGTGTGTTTTTGTGTGTATGTGGGTATCTGTGTGTGTATGTGTGTGTCAAGGTGTGTGAATGTGTCAGTGTGTAAATAGTTGTAATATGTTGTGTGTGACTGTGTGTAGGGGGTGCGTGTGGAGGTGGGGGTGCAGCCACCTCCTTTTACCCCTAAGGATGGTGGGCGTTCTATGCCATCCTTGGGGACCCGGCTCTAAATGCCGGTGGGTGGCATAGAACGCCCAAGCCGTCCTATGTACTTACCCGGTCGCCTGCGATCCCATGCCGGCGATCGCGGTGTGGAGACTCACCTGGGAGCCCAGGGAGTCCCCCTCCTTCCTCTCCTTCCCCCCTGGGCCATGTGATAGTGAGGTCCTTGTGACCACAAGATTTGAAATCTGTGCTCGCAGCAGGCTATGAACATGCCTCGTCTCCTTTAAGAAGGAATTTCTTGGGCCTCCTTTTGTGTTGCCATTAGACCAGCAGAGCCAGCTGCCCATGAGTAGGGGAATGTTATTGAGCTTTCTATTCACGAGCCATCATTGGCCCATGGCACAGTGCACACAGGCGAGAGAATAAAGCAGCCATCTTGGCAGTAACAGAGAGAGCACAGCAGCCCCTTGTCCCTGATAAATGTAAGTATACAGATATTACAATTAGCTCTGAATATTTTATGGGTAACTCTGTATTTGTTACCATTAAGTCTTGAGT